CCATCGCCTTTTTTTTCAACGCTCCAGCTGCACACTTGCAACGTATACATTTTTTGTCAAGACATGCTCAGTCTTTTTCTTCTACCTGAGCTGCATCCTTTTTATAATTAGTTTTTGTGGCTCACTCACTCCTAGAACACGTGAAGTTCGTACGTCTAGTGCTCGGCCTGTCCCTTGATTTCAACTTGCTTGCTTGATATCAATGAAGGTGGCATTTCGAAAGGTCGTTATCCGAGTTAAAAATTTATCAATGCATAATTCGGTTTGAGCTGCTGGCTGGTCGCGCTGTGCCAATACGAGAGGAGGGCTAAAGGAAAGAGACTAGGAATACAGCACCTTCATGCATCCACCGTCAACCGTTGAGACATATAGCTACGTAGTTAGATCTCGCCTGCTTAGATACCTAAAGACTAGCAAATTCCAGACAATTTTTTTCAGCTGCGCAATTGTTTCATCGCATATACTCTTTTAGTTTCCAGCGCTGGTATAGTCAGTCTATCTTTTAGCTGCCTTGCCTTAATGTTTTTTCCTTCGCCTTTCGAGGACAAGCTCGCCAACCAATCCGCCTCTATCATTTTTTCAAGTCGCAGCTGCAACTTGCCAACATAATTTTTGCAACAGTCAGCTATTTTTATAGATGCAATCCCTTAATTTTTTTTAGTGGCTTTTCTAGACATAAGTCGTAGTTAGATCTCGCTGTTTGATTTTCAACTTGCTTGCTTGATATCTAGGACAAGGTGGATTTCGAAAGGTGTTATCCGAGTTAATTTTATTCTAGTCATTCCTCCTGCCGCGCCTCGAGGTGGCTGTTGCACGCCAGACGGCCACGACTCACCCCCAGCGACAGACAGCCCACACTTAGGATAGGCACTTCCATGGTTTCAGCAATAGAATATGAGAGATCATATTAGTGAGCAATCGATAGAAGTATCCGATAGATTAAGAATATAGGACACTTAGAGATTAGATACACTAGAGTTATAATCGAGATTATTAATGGTCTAGCTTGACGCATTGTTTCAAATAGGTCGCTCCAAAAGCATCTTTTGTTATCCACCGTTCACATGTCTGAAGCTTTCTATGAAGTTGGATGCCTTCCTAATTTTTTTTGCGTTGCGGGGAAAGCTGGCCCATCGCCTTTTTTTTTCACGCCAGCTGCAACTTGCCACATAAATTTTTGCAACAGTCAGCTTAATTTTTATAGCTGCATCGCCTTATTTTTTGTGGCTTTTTCTAGACATAAGTTCCGGTAGTTAGATCTCGCCTGCTTAGATATTAAGAATAATTTCCAATTTTTTTTTTCAGGCTGCGCATTGTTTCATCGTAAAACTCTTTTGATTCCACCTTCAGCTATCTTTTAGCTGCCTTCCTAATTTTTTTCGTTCGGGAACAGCTGCCATCGCCTTTTTTTTTTCAACGTCCAGCTGCCAACTTGCAACATAAATTTTTGCAACAGTCCAGCTATTTTTATAAGCTGCATCCCTATTTTTTTAAGTGGCTTTTCTAGACATAAGTCGTAGTTTAGAATCTCGCTTCTGACATTAGATATAAGAATAATTTTCCAATTGTTTTTTCAGCTGCGCATTGTTTTCATCGTAAAACTCTTTTGTTTCCACCTTCAGCTAGCTCTTAGCTGACCTTCCTAATTTTTTTCGTTCGGGGAACAAGCTGCGATCGCCTTTTTTTTTTTTCAACGTCCAGCTGGCAACTTGCCAACATAATTTTTTGCAACAGTCCAGCTATTTTTATAGCTGCATCCTCTTAATTTTTTTAGTGGCTTTTCTAGACATAAGTCGTAGTTAGATCTCGCTGCTTAGATATAAGAATAATTCCAAATTTTTTTTTTCAGCTGCCGCATTGTTTTCATCGTAAAACTCTTTGGTTTTCCACTTCAGCTACTTTAGCTGCTTCCAAATTTTTTTCGTTCGGGGAACAGCTGCATCGCCTTTTTTTTTTCAAGCGTCCAGCTGCAACTTGCCACATAAATTTTGGCCACAGTTCAGCTATTTTTATAGCTTGCTCCCTTAATTTTTTTAGTGGCTTTCTAGACATAACGTCGTAGTTAGATCTCGCCTGCTTAGATATAGAATAATTCCAATTTTTTTTCAGCTGCGCATTGTTTCATCGTATAAACTCTTTTGTTTCCACCTTCAGCTACTTTAGCTGCCTCTAATTTTTTGCGTTCGGACAGCTGGCCATCTGCCTTTTTTTTTGCAACGTCCCAGCTGCAACTTGCCAACATAAATTTATTGCAACCAGTCCCAGCTTATTTTTATAAGCTGCTATCCCTTAATTTTTTAGTGGCTTTTCTAGACATAAGTCGTATTAGATCTCGCCTGCTTTAGATAAAGAATAATTGCCTAATTTTTTTTTTCAGCTGCGGCCAATCTGTTTCATCGTAAACTGCTTTTGGTTTCCACCTTCAGCTACTTTAGCTGCCTTCCTAATTTTTTCGTTCGGAACAGCTGCATCGCTTTTTTTTTTTTCAACGTCCACTCAACTTGCCATCATAATTTTTGCAACAGTCAGCTATTTTATAGCTGCATCCTTAATTTTTTTAGTGGCTTTTCTTAGACATAAAGTCGTAGTTAGATCTCGCCTGTTTTGATTTCAACTTGCTTGCTTGATATCAATGAAGTATTTCGGAAAGGTGTTATCCGAGGTTAATTTTACTGCATAATTCGAGAGGCGAGGGTGGCTGTGAGGGGAGGTTAAAGGAGGCCACTTAATACAACGCCGTTCGATGCAATCCACCGTAACTTAGACATAGTCGTAGTTAGACTCGCTGTCTTAGAGATAAGAATTAATTCTCAATTTTTTTTCGCTGCGCATTGTTTCATCGCGTAAAAATCTGTTTGTTTCCACCTTTCAGCTACTTTAAGCTGCCTTTCCTAATTGTTTTTCGATTCGGGGAACAGCTGCCATGCCTTTTTTTTTCAACGTCCAGCTGCAACTTGCCAACATAATTTTTGCCACAGTCAGCTATTTTTATAGCTGCATCCCTTAATTTTTTTAGTGGCTTTTCTAGACATAAGTCGTAGTTAGATCTCGCCCTGCTTAGATATAAGAATAATTCCCAATTTTTTTTCAGCTGCGCATTGTTTCATATCGTAAAACTCTTTTGTTTCCCACCCTTCAGCTACTTTAGCTGCCTTCCTAATGTTTTTTTCGTTCGGGAACAGCTGCCATCGCCTTTTTTTTTTTCAACGTCGCAGCTGCAACTTGCCAAACATAAATTTTTGCAACAGTCAAGCTATTTTTATAGCTGCATCCTTAATTTTTTTAGATGGCTTTTCTAGACATAAAGTCGTAGTTAGATCTCGCCTGCTTAGATATAAGAATAATTCAATTTTTTTTCAGCTGGCGCATTGTTTCATCGTAAAACTCTTTTGTTTCCACCTTCAGCTACTTTAGCCTTGCCTCTTCCTAATTTTTTTCGTTCGGGAACAGCTGCCATCGCACTTTTTTTTTCAACGTCCAGCTGCAACTTTGCCAACATAAATTGTTTGAACCAGTCAGCTATTTTTATAGGCTTGCATCCCCTTAATTTTTTTAAGGTGGCTTTTCTAGACATAAGTGTAGTTTAGATCTCGCCTGTTTGATTTCAACTTGCTTGCTTGGATATCAATGAAGGTGGATTCGAAAGGTGTTAATCCGAGGTTAATTGATACTGGGCATAATTCGAGAGGCTGAGGGTGGCTGTGCAGGGGAGGATAAAAGGAGGCCCTTAGGATGCAACCTTCCATTGCCAATCTCACCGTACTTAGACATTTAAGACGTAGTTAGATCTTCGCCTGCTTTAGATATAAGAATAATTCCAATTTTTTTCAAGCTGCCGCATTGTTTATCGTAAAACTCTTTAGATTCC